AACTTAATTGGAAAACGGTCCCTCAGGCTTGGTGCGACCTCACTGAAGCCTATAGGCCCGCATTGGAGACAATCATATCCCTCCGGGAGCATTTCCACCACCACCACCACCCTCTTGTTAGTCTAAGTTGGGGCTCCGGGTCCGAGAGCCTTAAAGGGGCCATATCCTGGGTCCACCGTGTAGAGAGCCCAGGCAGACCCTTTCTTAAGTTCTGAAGAGTTGTGCAGCCAGCAACTCTCAAGCAAGGACACCTCCTCTCTCCTTCGCCTCCAAGCCTTCGGGCCCAGCGGGCTCTGGGGTGCAGAGCGGCTACAGCCTGCTCTGAAATGGAAAAGGTCTTCCATCGTCTGAGGCCGCCGTGCCTGGAAGCCTTTGCCCTGCAGAATCAGCCCTTCCAGCTACCGTCTCTGCCCAACCCTCAAAGGTGAAGAACTTTTAGCCGTCTTGGGGAACTGTTCAAAGGTCCACAGCCTCTGACGGGCGGTGATCCAGGCCGGACTTTACCGCTGCCCTTGTCCCAGCCACCCAGAGGGGCCATTAATTAGCCTCCGCGGGAAGTCGGCTCCCTCCTCCCTAGAAATGCAGTCTGGAATGAATCTCGGATCCGATGGCATCCCGCTCCGGCTCGCCTGAAAATCCTGGCCAGATTTTCTAGGAGCCCAGAGCCGGGCGACCTTGTGGGCCCCGGGGTTGGACACCTGTCACCTGGGCGGGGGGGAGGAAGGAAGACTCGGACTGGAGTTTCAAGGAAGGGCAGGTATGGTGGGGCCCGGTTGGGTGAGAGGGAGTTAGATCAGAGATTCTTGATTCAGAAGGCGGCCGGGGTACCATCCCCGCCCCCGACCCCCAAGCAAGAATGTGTACTTCAAAGTTCTCTAACAGGCCGCAGCGATTTTTCATCTAAATCCCTCCAGCTCAGGGCTGCGCCCTCAGCGGCGCCCCAGCCCCGCACCTAAAGGGTTAAGCGACGCCCCTCGGGTCAGACGTTTACAAACACTCGGGAGCCGGGCGGGGACCGCGCCCGTTACTCTAATGAGAAACAGGCTCTGCGGGGCTGGGGAAGAGGGGAGGGCTGGCCCGGCGGGCCGGAGCTCCGCAGCGGCGCAGGCGGCTCCCCTCCCTTCCCTCCCGTCCTCCCGCTGGCCCGCCCTGGGGACCCCCCCCCCTCCAGCCCCCGGG